TTTCTTTTGCTTTTTCTTTGTTTGTCCGTATATATATATATTTTTTTTATTTATATATATATATATATATATATATATTTATTATAAAACATCTCTGTTTTTATAATTTCTGGCGCAACCTTTATCCCTTAACAGACAATAGTTATAAAAGAAATAGTGGGAAAAAACACCCAGTAAACGTTAAAAATCTTGAAGACAACCTGGAAAATGTGATCCAGAATAAACGAATCCATTGGCAAATCTATAATAATAGACACAACATAGCGTAATATAGTATAACATACAAAAGAGTGTATTGTTTGGTAGAAACCTCACAAACACAGGTAGAATGGATGGTAGATGCCAGATGGTAGGAATCTTCAGATATGTGGAGGAAAAAGGCCATACATAGTGAAGTAAAATTAAAACCAGGATACAATTTATTTGATTGTACTTACAGACAAGAAAAAAGTCATAGGCAATTAGGCATATCTCCACACAAAGTAGAACTCTTTAGCAGCGTAATTAGTCTGGAATTACCAACTTCAGCAGCAGAGAAAAAAACAAAAGTAAACAGAATATATTTAAAACAAAAAGTCCATATAAATGATGATCCAACGCGTTTCGTCCGAATAGGGGACCTCCTCAGGGATCTGTGGTGATTCTTCATATGGAGTGCTTCTTATAATGGTGGTAATCTCCGTGAATTTGTTTCATCTGGTGGCGTGCGTTCCACTGCGTAACGCAAAGATGCACTTCCTACAGGCAAATATAAATGACACAACCCAGCATGGAAGAGTAGCATATAAGTGAGTATACAAACGGTAATGAGGCGTGCGCATAATGATACCCATACGAGATCTATACGAAAGAGAAAAAGACAAAAAACGGTGATCTGTCGCCGTAAAAGCGAACAGTACATATACAAAATAGGCATCATATTATAGCAACATTTTGCAATAAACCCAGTTGTTATACTTCCTATAATATGTATAAAGGAATATATACATAAAAATATATACATATTTTAGTATAGTATATATGTAGAAAAAGTATGAAAATATAAAAATATCTGAAAAAATTTGAATAATATAAAATTATGAATCATATAAAAATATGAATAATATAAAAATTATAAAATATATATATATGCCCAACAACACAGTATTAGTGATCAACTGTACAGTATTTATAGATATATGCATTATGTGTAAAACATATAAAGAAAACTGATAGGAAAAAGTGCATGTTATACAAGACTTTGAAGGTCTATTTCGGCATTAAGACCTTGTTGTAAAGTTTTTAGATTCTAAATCCAAAAAGCTTCTTGAAGAATACGTTCTTGTAATTTTCCCCTCCCCCTCCTCCAACCTAAATCAATCTTATCTATACCAAATGCCAAAAAAAAAAATTCCTAATGAAAAAGAGAACAAGAGTTGCAATGTCTTGGTACACTATAACCAGGTTTGCCCTTTTTGATGTTATTAAAATGCACCAACAGTCTGACATGGAGCTTGCGTGCGGTAAACCCACATATCGAACGCCACATCCGCATTGTAATAAATTAACCACAAACGTGGAGGAGGAGCATTGGATGTGTTTCTTAATATGGTAACATTTCTTGGTATAAGTACCTGTAAAATTGAGGATTTTTCTTTTTTGATGTTTGCATGTTGAACAATGTCCACAGAAAAAAAAAACGTATAGAGATTTGGAATAAATTGGTGGAGGGAGGGGGATTCATAGGGAGGAGACTAGGAGCCAGTTTATTCTTTAAATTAGTTGCTCATTTATATATTACTGTTGGAAATTTTGGTAGAATATCTTTGAGGAGATCATCTTTTTCTAGAATATACCAATATTTCTTGAGAACTTTTTCAATCTTTTTAGCTTGAGCATTGTATTGAGTTATAAAAGCAAATTAAAATGTATTGTTTGTGGTGGTGCAGTTTTTATGTTGTGGATGTTGTTGACTGGTGTTATCTTGTAAGAGGAGATATCTATCAGTATTCAATAATATCTGTTCATCAGCATTTAACTTAGTTGTATTACAACATTTATCTATATATCGTTTCTTGATAAATCTGGGCTTGTTGTAGAAAAATTTCATCATCAGTGCAATTCTTTCTAAGGTGAATTAGCTGGCTTTTGGGAATATTGCTGAGCCAAGAAGGAAGGTGGGGACTGGAATATTCAATTGCTGTATTGCAATCTGTAGGCTTAAATAATGTTTTAGTTTTTAGTTGGTTTTGATCTACATAAATAGTCAGATCCAAAAAATCTATAGAAGTTGGATTCAAATTAAAGGTAAATTTAAGATTATAATCATTTTGATTGATACATTCAAAAAAAGCATTTAGACCTTCAATGTTTCCCTCCCATATTAACAATACGTCATCTATGTAGCGCCGCCACAGGACCAGACTGCCCCGCTGATGGTCCCCCAACTCTACATGTTGATGTTCCCAATGGGACACATACTGTCCGTTAAACAAAAGTACTGTCCGTTAAAAGTAATTTCTTCCGCTAGTATTTTGAGTGATCTTTTTTGGTAATTAACCAAACCTATCATTTATTTTTTTGAGCATTCGTCACTGGCTTTTTTTTGCCAGTCTTCCATTAATAATTTGTCCTCTAAACCAAAAACTGGAGTTTTTAAAACCCTCAATCCTCGGGATATGGTATCAGAGGCCAAATATTGCTCTAAGGAAGTAATCTCCTACCATTTGCGGGTTTCTTTTACTAAGAGATGCTCTAATTTGAAAAATTTCCTGTTGAGGGAACTGTCCCCGGGACGTGGACCTCCCTTAAACAGGGAATCCTCTTTTTCCTTTCATTTCTTATTTCATTATATACATTTTGAGAAGCCATTTAGGTGAATGCAGCAATAGTAGTATACAGGTGAGGGACAACAATAAATATAGTATACTTACTAAAGACCAGAGTAAAATACATAAAATCCGAGTGTTCCCAGGTGTACCTAACTAACACCTAACAGACAATAGTTAATATAATATACGGAAAATCTGAGTGTTCCAGACAATAGTTATAAAAAGAAATAGTGAGAAAAAACACCCAGTAAACATAAAAAATCTTAAAGACAACCTGGAAAAAAACAGACTTCTCACCCTGATTCAACCTTTGTTTGTGAGTTGTCTACCAAACAATCCACTCTTTTGTATTTTTTACTGTATTAGGCTATGTTGTGTCTATTATTTTAGATTTGCCAAAGGATTCGTTTATCCTTGATCACATTTTCCAGGTTGTCTTTAAGATTTTTTATGTTTACTGGGTGTTTTTTCCCACTATTTCTTTTTATAACTATTGTCTGGAACACTCAGATTTTACAAATGTTACTCTGGTCTTTAGTGTGTATACTTCCCTTTTTTTGCAACCTTTATCTCCCCTGTTTGACTCATATGTATGTGTATTATTATTATCTTAAAGGGACACACCACTGCCCAAATTGAAAATAAAAACACTGTGTAATATATATATATATACCTCAAATGAAACCTTGCATGCATTTAATTATACATAGTGTTCCATTGGGGGCATATCTAAATACAGCTTGCAAAAACAGAAAATCTTGTCTTCTGTCTTTGTAGGCCCTCCCCTTTTAACCCTGCCCATACTTCCCCAGCTGTCTAATCACAGACTTCCCAATGCAGCTCAATGATAAGTCCTGCAAGGCAGCTGCTCTGTGCAATTGCTGCCTCTTGGGTTTAGTTCCACTGAGCTAAACAAATCAAGGAGTAACAGGACCGGCGAACTGCTTGAAAGTAAGGAGGGTTAAATAGTAGTCTAGGTTGAAAAAACAACAAGCTTTAACAAGTTTAACCTGGAAACACATTCTTTCAACAACCAATTGTAGACATTTGCAATTATGTCACAAAAGGGAAAAAAAATCCTTCTTGCCTTTTCTCAAAAACTGCAAACACATCTCAATTCATGAAACTGTGCAAATTATAGTTTGGTAACTGAGCCAGTTACACCAGCAGGTGTCGATATGCTCCAGAAATGCATTGCATGGTTTGTCCGACACACTGAGCCCACGCTCCACAACATGATGCTTAAAGGGACCACTATAGTGCCAGGTTCCTGCAGTGCCCCTCTCCCTCGCACCCCCAATACCATGTTGCTGAAGGGGTTAAAACTTACCTGAATCCAGCACCAATGTCTCTCGGCGCTGGGTCAGGCTCCGCCCACGCTCCTCCCCCACATACGTCAGCCATATTCAATGCTTTCCTATGAGGATTCCGGCGACGCTGGAGGTCCTCCTGCATAGCGTGAGGACTTCCAGCATTGTTTAAAACACTTTTCAGGTTTTAAGAACCCAGAAGTCCCTCTAGTGGCTCTCTGATAGACAGCCACTAGAGGAGGACTTAACCCTGCAAGGTAATTATTGCTGTTTATAAAAACTGCAATAATTACACTTTCAGGGTTAAGGGCTATGGGAGTTGCACCCAGACCACTCCAATGGGCAGAAGTAGTCTGGGTGCCTGGAGTGTCCCTTTAAATATATATTATGTGAGGCCCTCAGGTCTCTTAAAGAGATATACTCATTAGGAAAAGAAAGTTAAGGTGCAATGATGTAATGTGAGTGTAATGACAGTATAATTAACGTCAAGGTGGATGTGTTTCATTTAAAAAAAAAAAATGCTTTTTACCATTTATTATTGGTTTTGTGATGTCTTGAACATATTACCTAACAGAGTTTTGCTTTATTTTCTTTTTACTTTTTTCTTTTACTTTTTTCAGTATTTTCTGAGAAAACAGTCTTCACGGAGAGGACTATATCAGCATGAATATCAATATACGCACCAGGACAAAAATAAATATTCTACAAAATTTATTATAACTTTATTATTACAATTTTTAAACCAATTTATTTTTTTTAGAGTTTGCCAGCAAGGTTAATATCTAAAATTCATTCTTATATTTTAGTAACATTCATTAACATTTTGTTATTCACACGAAAAACAGGAACATCACACTGCAAATTCTGCAGACGAGACACGTCAGATTCGCTCCTTTATCCCTTCCTTCTCCACCTTCTTAAGATGGAGGTAAATTCCATTCACAGTGCGTAACACAAGTTGTGGCAGCATTAATGGCTCGTTATCAGGGTCTGGACTTAGTTCAAATCTCTGTAAGGTCAGTGCTATGGCCACTTTCATCTCGTTCATAGCAAAGTTTTGTCCAATACAGTTCCTGGAGGACATGAAAAGATTAATGTTTTTATTCCTCAATTATTCTTTCCTTTAATTAACACCTGCCTTTCCAGCCCCTTCATACCAGGATTTTGTTTGACATTGTAATAAACTGCTCCTTCAGACAGACAAACTGTAAAAGGTCTTCCGCCTGCAGCCAGATAGGCTCACAATGTACAGTGAATCAATATAATTACCAATATGGATACCGCAATCTCCTGGATCTCAGGGTGCAACCGGACCTAAAGGTTGGCCAATCCTCACAATGTGATTTACAAAAAAGGAACGATGGTCCTGGCACTCAAGTACAATCCAGTGGGCAGATTTACTGGAGCAAGATCAAAACAACGTTTCGGCCCTCAACAGGGCCTTTGTTAAGCTTGACAAAGGTCCTGTTGTGGGCCAAAACGTTGTTTCAATTTTGCTCCAATAAATCTGCCCACTGAATTGAACTTGAGTGTCTGGACCATCATTACATTTTTGTAAATCACAATGTACAGTGAAGCATTCTCGCAGATGGAGAGGAGAAGGGAATGGACAGAAAACATTATGGGCAGACGCTCAGGGAAAGAAATTCATTTTTATACTTGTTTTAGCTCCACAACTGCCACTATGAAATAAAATGCATGTTTGGCCTTCTAATTATTCTGCTCATTCAGAAAGAAAGTGAAACAAGTGTAATCTTGAAAACACTTTATACCTCCACAATTTTTTCCAAAGGTTAAAAGGGATTTTAGGTAAAATGTCCCATTGGGCGCTATTAATCATGTTCCCCTACACTGTTAAAGGTTTTACTTACCTGGACTCCAGTGCTGGTCAGAGACACCTGTAATTGGCTGTTTTGCTGGCTCAGAGCGTATTTGTGCCCTGATGGAATTTGCAGAAGTAGTGGGGAAAGAAATTGGAAGTAGGGGTGGGAAGTTTAATAAAACCGAGCACTACTGGTTTTATTAGAATGCAGGAGGACTCAACTCAGTGAGGGAGGGGAGAAAACTGCTTCCCCTGGAAGGCACTGCCTGCAAGGGAAAAGGTCAATATGTCAATGTCCCATGTGCAGTGCAAGCTAACAACAAATGTATTTTATGCATAGAAGGGGTTTCTATTGAAAAGGACACTGTAAGCACCAAAACAACTTTACGTTAATGAAGTGGTTTACAGCCTCTTGAGTTTAGCTCAACCAAGTTAACCAAACCAGGAAATAACAGGACCAGTTGTCTGCTTGACAGTCAGGAGGTTTACACAGTTACATAGTTACATTGTAGCCTAGGTTGAATGAAGGTTCATTAAGTTCAATCTGGAAAGCCATTATTTTATTCTACTGTTTAAAAAAAAAAAGTTAAACAAAAACCTTAAATGAATGTTAGTGTTAAACTGCTCGAAAATGGTTTAACACTGAATAGAGGAACAGTGCCAGGGGACTCGAGGCACTAAAACTAATTCAATAAGATGGAATAGTTATAGTGACTACAGAGTCACTTTAAAAACATTAAAACGATGTTTACATAGTTGTCTAGGATGAAAAAAAAAGTCCATCAAGTTCAACCTCGAATCCCATTATTTTATGCTGCTGATCCAAAAGAAGGAAAAATAACTAACTGTAGACATTTCCAATTATGCCACAAAAGGGGAAAAATCCTACTTGACTCATTTCCGTTAAATCATTAGTGAACATATTCATTCACTAACAGGTGTCACAGGCACAGTGTTCCAGCATTGAATTGAATGCTTTGTCCAACACACTGCGCACGCAAACAGGCTCTGCCACAGAATGCTTTAAAAACGATATATGTGAGGCCCTCAGAGTCTCTTAAAAGGATACACACACTAGGAAAAGAAAGACAAAGTATAAGGATGTGATGTGGGAGGCATGAAAATATGATTAAAGTCAAAGTTGACGTGTTTTATTTAAAAAGAATGCTATTGAAGGAACAATTTAACCACCAAAATAACTTTAACTTAATGAAGTGGTTGTGTTTTATAGATCATGCACCTGCGGTCTCACTGCTTTATTATCTGTGATTTCAGAGTGAAATTGCTTTATTTATGTAGCTCTAGCCACACCTCCCATGGATTCCTGAAAAAGAGCCTAATAATTTTAGCTTCTATTATTCCACAGTGTGTTTAATTTGGAATATCTTATTTCCTGTTCTGCTGACTGCCTGCTAGAGCCCACAAAAGCCTCCTTTGTGCGATTAAAGTTCAATTATCAAAGCAGGAGTTACAAACTTCTAAAGTAAACACACTGTTCTGTAAGAGCATTAAACATTTTTTTTCATGGATACTGTGTGTGTTAGAGCAAGGGGAGGAGTGGCAGTGACTGCATAAACAGGAATAAAAGTGATTTGACTCCTACATGGCAGAGAATTGAGCAGTGAAACTACAGGGCATGATACATGATCTATACACCAAAACTGCTTAACGTTGTTTTGGTGCTTAGAGTACCCCTTTTTGAACTGTATTGGGACTTTCCACAGTTTAATTTGGCAACTACAAGTGCTGGATAGAACACAACATTTCTATATGTTGCATTTTACAGGACTGGACTATTGGTTTATGCCAGAAGATAAATGATCGTCCACTCACTCAAGGTGAAACCAAAGTGAGCAAGCTTATTGGAGCAGAAGAAAGCAATGTTTTGACCACAGCTGGGTCTTTTTCAAACTTGAGCAGATATATAGTTTGCATTGTTAGTATATTCATCCAAACATTATCACTTTAATTGTTTAATTTTGACACGGTTTAGAATTGCTTTTATCACATTCATTTTGCATTATATATACGCACAATGCTCTAACAATATATTATTTAAATACTCTTCAGCTTATTTAACACTAGTTCTATTTAGTATGTCCCCCACGTTGGAAATAGTGTAGGACCCATCGATATTGGGGTACTGTGAAGTAGTGGTGGGCTTAACACAATATTTTGGAACTGAATCTGCACATGTGTTTGCTGAGATAGGTGATTTTAATTAGCCTTATAACATTTTTACGTGTGGGTGCTGTTTCTTAATCTGTATTATGTATGAATGGTGGTCACAATGGCAGCACCATTGCTGCAAAATGCATGTTCCGGGTGGGCCCCCAATTCCTTTTTGCCTTTCATTAATTGCACTGGGAGTAGCAATTTTTGTAAATTATTTTTATAATATAAAATGGGTCTTATTACCTGGATCCAGCAGAGAAGGGGAGGAAGGCATATGAGTTTCTGTTGGATGTATTTTCAGGAGAAAAGCGCTGGGGATTAAAAACCTGAAAATGTGCACACAATACATTGTTATGGTGTAACTCAAGTAGTAGTGAGTATCTATGACATTTTTCTACATGTTTTATGCAAAATATTACAGCATTGTTTAATTAACAAAATCTTCATGACTTTTGCAATTTGATTGGTTCCGGAGTATTGTCAAAGAAAAAGGTATACTAAAGCATACAGTGCAGAGCAAGACAGTTCCGGTAATCCGTAGCACAACCATTTCCCCGACTGTAATTTTATAATTAAATAAAAAAACAAAAAACTATGCCATACATTATTTTTGTTTGATTTTTTTTTTTTTTGCAGAATTGTTTAAATAAAGATCTACTTAAACAGAAATATTTTTTTTCTTAGGTGATTGGCCAATTAATTAAATTTAAATATAAAATAACATTTCATAAAAACCCCACTATCCACTTGCCTCTGGTTCTTCCCAAATGCTGGAACATCTGTTAATGTTATATAAACTCAGAAAGACATTAGCACCTGTTAGAAAGGAAACAATGTGCAGGTTACATTGTATGAAAATAGATCTCAATCTCATATGAAATTTATATTTCAAGCTTTGTAACTAGGGCTTGGAAATTCAGGTCAGTGGCAACTAGTTTGGCCTTACCACTTCAAAAGCAAACAAATGTGTAACAATTTGTAATTGTCTCATTTATTGTTAAATTTACCTCTTTCTAATATTCTAAAGTGCAGTGGAATAAGCTGACACTATGTAAATGCCAATAATAATAATAATAATAATAATAATAGTTTTTTTTGTTGCACATTGACCGATTTCTCTCCCTCCTCAGGGTGTTTGGAGACAATAAAAACATTCAAAAAGTTTTAAAGCAGGGGTCCTCAAACTGTGGCCCTGCAGATGTTGCTGAACTACAACTCCCATGATTCTTTGAATTGCATAGATAGCCAGAGAATCATGGGAGTTGTAGTTCAGCAACATCTGCTGGGCCGGAGTTTGAGGACCCCTGTATTAAAGTATAGTGCCAATTATATGCACTATTAAACTCATACACATGTAACTATACACAAATACATGCACACATATATACAAACATATACACACACAAAGACATACACACACTCAAATACCCACACACATACTCTTAAATCTTAAAAATAGAAACATAGAATGTGACGGCAGATAAGAACCATTCGGCCCATCTAGTCTGCCCAATTTTCTAAATACTTTCATTAGTCCCTGACCTTATCTTATAGTTAGGATAGCCTTATGCCTATCCCACGCATGCTTAAACTCCCTCACTGTGTTAACTTCTACCACTTAAGCTGGAAGGCAATTCCATGCGTCCAATACCCTCTCAGTAAAGTAATACTTCCTGAAATAATTGTTAAACAAGAATACTTAAAGACACACTATATGCATCAAAATAACTTTAGCAAAATTAAGCAGTGTTGGTGTATAGAACATGCCCCTGCAGTCTCTTTGCTGAATTATCTGCCATTTAGGAGTTAAATTACTTTTGTTTTTGTTTATGCAGGCCACGCCACAAAAGTTTGCATGAAAAAAATGGTTTCATTTTCAATCAGATCTTAACTTACTTTAGAAGTTATTTTCTCCTGCTCTGTAAATTGAACTTTAATCACACACACATCTGAAGTGCCTGCAGGCTCTAGCAGGATATTAACAAAGCAGTAGATAAAACAAGTCTAAATGAAACACTGTGCAATAAAGGAAGTTTAAACATTATACCTCTCTTTACAGGAAGTGTTTAGGAAAGGTGTTTAAGTCACATGCAGGGACTTGTGGCTAAGGCTGAATTAATGAAGTGATAACACCTAAATAGCAAAAAACTAAGCAGTGAGATTGCAGGGACATATTCAATACAGCAAACTGCTTTGTTAAGCTGAAGTTGTTTTGGTGCCTTATAAAATCCCTTTAAATGCTAGTTTACCTATACTTTGCCCATGGTTACAACATCAGGATTGCATGTGAAGGAGACCAGATTTTGTTAGTAAATCACATGCATGTTTATTATTATCGTTGCAAATCTAAATACTGCTTTACCAGTGTTTTATACAGCAGGTAATAGGCATCAATAGTAAGGAGAAATTATAGCTTACCTTTTGGAAGACTCCGACCATCGCAGAACGTAATTGGTTGACTGAGCTCCCGGGCAACACCTGGGACGGGTGGGTAAAGCCTCATGCTCTCCTTAATACATAAAGTGGTGTAGATCATTTTACCCAGATCATCCCTTGTCACATAAAAAAAAAAAAAAATCATCAATAGGTAAAGTGGCACAAAGGATGTAAAAATAACAATATAAAAATTGTAATTAAAACATGGATGGTCTCTGAGACTTTTTTGCATAGTGAGTAACTTGGGTCTTCTCTGGTCTGCTTCTGTTGGTCTGGTGGTGAGTGTCTGTTCTGGTGATGCTAGGGTTAGTGGTTCAGTTGTGTCTTTCAGTCCTGCTTTCTCCAACCACTGGTTGAATTTTTGTTATCCGAGCCACATCCACTATCTGCTGGTGTACATTCCATGGAGACATTTGTCTTGCCATTGAACCTCCTCGTTTTCTGCATACTCTGCCTGTCTGTTGTCTCAGGAATTCCTTTAGAAGTTTATCTTTGGGAGGCATCTTTGTGATGCACTTGTGGGTGCATCCAGGACTGTGGTTGTGACAATCATTAGTCCCCAACTGCCTCTGGGGCTGGATTTTGGGTAGAATCCTATATTCATAGTGATTTGTTTCCTGGTCTTGATATTCATGGTGTCCAGCTATTCTCTTAGCTAGGTAATGGCTGGTAGGACATATATGTTGATGATGTGGCTCTTTTTCTTGTCATTGAACTGGGACTTCAGGACCTGTCTAACTTTCTGGAGGTACTTGGATGTTGCTGTTGTCCTTGCCTCTTCCTCATGGTACTCATGTGTTTGTGGTATCCACAGGTATTGGTATCAGTTCTCTACATCTCCTAATTGGCCTTCTGGCACTTCAACTTCTTCAGTTCTAATCATCTTTCCTCTTTTTGATATTCATATGACCCTACTTTTTTCTAATCTGAATGACTTTCTGATGTTCTTGCAGTATATCAGTGAGTTGATGTCCTGATCACTCTTGGCATATAGTTTGATGTTATCCATGTAGAGGAGGTCTCTGATGGTAGTTTCTTTCTCAAACCTATATCTGTATCAACTCTTAATGATGATCTGTCTGATAGAGTTAAGGCTAATGCAGAACAACATTGGGGATAGTGCATCAGCTTGGTATATGCCACATTTGATATCCACTTGTATAATTGTTCTGGAATTGGCTTCTAGAGTTATTCTCCACATGCCCATTGAGTTCTTGATCAATGCTCTTAGCATCCTGTTGAACTAGTATAGAGCAAAGCATTCTAGTATCCATGTGTGTGACATTGTTTCATAGGCTTTCTTGACGTCAATCCAGGCTGCGCACAGATTGGTCTGCCTGGTATTAGAAACCCATCTGCCTGCTTGGTCTACCAATAGCTGGGGTTTTGAGCTTCTGGTGTGATTTCCAATCTCCTTCTGAGTACTGCTCATGGATTGACTCATTTTCCCATAGATCTTGGAGGCTATGATATCTGACATGACCTTCCATGTTGTGGGGATGCAGGCGACTGTCAGTAGTTATATGGTGCTGTTCCCTTGTGAGGGTCCTTTATGTAAGTTCACTGATTTAGAACTAAGAAAACCAGGTTGAAATCCTGCCAAAATATCTCTCCTATATGTCTCCCTTGACAAGACACCTAATGATAAATATCTGTTTACCTCAATAATATGAACCAAAAGAGTTATGCCAGCTCGGATGTCGCCTGAATTCACAAGGTCCACATCAAATTCTGGGTAAGCAGGGCAATCTGAGGTCTACTGGAGCAAACCATTCCTGGATATGAAGTAGGAGCCATCATCTACACTAACTTCAAAACAAAATATAAATTCCAGTTGTGACACTAGTTTCCTCCCCATTATATTTTACACAACATTTTAACATAATGGGGAGGAAACTAGTGTCACAACTGATATTCTTATCTATTATGTATGTGTAAATTTTGCAATGATAATTTAATGGAATAATGATTTTTAAGAGGTCACGACTGAGTTTGTGGTCCAGCACGCAGAACTATGTAACATCTACTGAACATAACTGGTTGAATTAATACGTAGAAAGACAGAGAATGGTCACGGGAAAGCCGAAGTCAAGGAAGCCAGAAATACACGAGAACGATATGTAAAGCCAAGTCAAGGGAACCAGAAATCAGAGTAGTCAGGGATAGCCAAGGTCAAAATACTGGGAAGATCAAATACAAGACAAGAAAACACACTCTCGGGAACCAGGAACTGAAACCACGACAGGGCAATGAGCTAGGGAACTTCAGGGGTTTAAGCACCCCTCCTTGTGCTGTGATTGGTTATAGCGTGACCTCTCTGACCCCAGAACGTGCGTGTGCGTTGACAAGTTCGCGTGACCCTGGGGGACGGGGCTATAAATGGCTACAGCCGCGTGGTCGGCGCCATCTTGTTTACTAGCAGAGGGGACAGATACCCCAGCGGAATGGCTCCTGGCTCGTCGTCGAGCAGGTAAGCTCAGCCTGTCAGCTCGGTCGCACCGATCAGATGTGACCGTGTGCAGCCGCGAGCCGGGGGCCGTGACAGTTTTATATGAGTTAAGTTCTTGAAAACTATTTATATTAGAAAAAATGAACTCCTGCTTTACTTTCCAGCTAATTTATGCATTATTATTTTCTGCAGAAACAAGAGAGAAGGTTGCAGGTTCTCACCATTCCACTGTGTTCCGCTCCCCCAATATCTCCCTGATCTCCTCGCGACACTTCTGCTGATGTTCAGGGTACTTGGCCATACAGTACAAAATCCAGGAGATCCCACTGGCTGTTGTATCATGTCCCTCAAACATAAAGGTGTCCACCTCGGCTTGTAGGTCCTCGTCCGACAGACCTTGGTCATTTTCATCCTGTTCGAAGAAAAAATATGAATACAGCCTTTTCCCAAAACTTGTATTGTAGTTTCTTTTTTCTCTTATTACATATATAGCACATTCTAGTTCCAGTATAGCCAAGAAACTAGAAATTTGATGAACCTATCATAGGCAATAAATAAGGATAAGTAAAATACATGATATATCCTTTTACATTTGTAAGGTATATTGCTTTTGTATATCAGCACAGTATCTCTCTAACTAAAATATATTTACAGTATAAAATACAATATTAAGCATAGTAGTCCATTTTTGTTAATCACTTTCTCCAAAGAACACTTGATTTGATTAAAGCAGTAGCAATCAATGGTTTGACTCTAACCATGGCTCCCAGGGAACTTCCAGGTATTGCAATTGCAATAGTCAAAGTTCTGCTTTTGCATTAGCAAAAGCAGTTCCATCCATGTTTGGATGGAATTAATTGGATAAGAGTGTTAGCTGACATTCTTCAGCCGACTAATTCAAACTACAATTGGACAAAAATGGATAATACTAACGCAGAAGATACATTTCTGCTTTACTGATATCTCTAATAAGGGCCAGGTTGTGGTAAATGATTGATACATAATGGGGAGATCGTGCCAGTGGGCTCCTGGCACCCTTAGTGGTTATGGTTATTCATTATATCAAGCTCAAAACAAATATTGGCTGAGTAGCTGTGACTCAAAATATAATCTACAATCCTGAGGTTTGAGAGACAGTGCAGATGACGCATTACAAAACTGTGTTTTCTCAACACCTTAAACATTGTTATGAAGTTTACTATAATTTATTTACGAGTTGGTAGAAAAGTCTTTGTGAACAAACCACTATGAGTATGTAGATTATTGGCTAGGGATTTGTGAACTGCAGGACAAAGTAGCCAAGGTGGATAATTAGCCAAGCCAGAGAATTTGAAATGTACAATTCCATGCTCATTCCTGAGAAATTCAGGTTTATTTAATAAAGCACTGTGCTTGCTGACACATGGATAATTGAGTACCTTTAATTACAGAAGTAAAAATAGTGTATTATGGAAAACACTCATATTAGGAGTTGGCCAGTGTTACTCCGCCGTATTTATTTGTTGCTATTTTGTTTTGTACTAGATATTGCCTATATAAAAATCTTATAATTTCCTGGTATTTTATAAATAAATAAAATAAATAAATATAATTTCAATTTTAACACATAAGTCATCTCACAATGAAATTATATAGAAGAATCTAGCCTTGTACACAGAGAGAATTGTTTTCTGAATATAGAAAAAATTTTCGGGGAAACAAAACATTGAGTTAGATGTTGGTTAGGCTTGACCAAATGTCAGTTCAGGAAACAAAGAATAATCCGGACAGGCGTGAGAATGGGTAAATCAGTGTGCAGCAAAATATATTCATAATATAGTATATGAATACATTTTGCAGTTCACTGATAGGAGCTTTTCCCCACCATTTGGTTCACAGATCAAGTGTGAAAAAGTAACTAATAGGGAGAAAAATTGTAGAAGCAGAAATAAAATCCATATTCATTTATTTATATATTATAAATATTTTTAAATAGGAAATACATAAATACAATATTTTTTTTTACTGCTACCCTGTTATTCCTCTATTGTTCACTTCTTTCTTTATCCGTGCGTACAATTAAAATTTAGTCTCATTTAATAACTAACACATAATATCTAATTTTCCACTTTCTTTTAAAAAACAAAACACAGTCGCAGACCATGTGTGACAATCTAGAGAAAAAAATAGAAGAAAAAAATTAAAGATAAGAGATAATAAATAGTATAGGATAGATATTGCTGAATCTTTAGCAGCCAATATGAACGAGATCCATTGTATGTTCATTACCTTTGCACACAGAAGAATATCCAGAAAGTCTAAATGTCTCTTCTTTTTAATCGTCTCAAGTTCTTTTTCCTGTTTCATTGATTCCATTCTCTCTCTAATAACTTTAGCTGTTTGGAAAATATAACAAATGTTAACTTGTCTGCTACGTTCTACCAATAAAGAAGAAAAAACGTAGGGGTGTATTTATCACATTTTGTGAGAGATTATGTTTGTTTCTACGGTGATAGCTCCCTTATTTAGTACTTTGTCCAAGAATAGCACCTGTAGTTACTTTGGTAAAAATGACCCCAATGCATCTGTAGACTATAAATATATCCCTTATATTTAGTAAATAAAGATATATATATAAATATACATATTTTAAAGGGACTCTATAGTCACCAAAGCAGCATAATGAAGCAGTTTTTGTGTATAGATCATGCAGCTGAAGTCTCACTGCTCAATTCTCTGCTATTTAGGAGTTATAACACTTTGTTTCTGTCCATGCGGCCCTAGCCACACCTCCCCTGTCTGCGACTTGAACAGACTGCATTAAAAAAATGGCTTAATTTCCAATCAGATGTTAACTTGATTTAGAAGTCGTATCTCCTGGTTTGTAATTTTAACTTTGATCACACACAGGAGTCTCTTGCAGGGTCTAGCAAGCTATTAATAGTTTATAAGATAATATATTCTAAACTAAACAGACTTCACAATAAAGGAAGTGTAAATATGAAATATCACTTTACAAGGAAGTTTTTACGAAGGCTGTGTAAGTCAGATGCAGGGAGGTGTGACTAGAGCTGTATAAACAAAGTGATTAACTCCTAAATGGCAGAGAATTGAGCAGTGAGACTGCAGGGGCATGTTCTATACACCAAAACTGCTTTATTAAGCTGAACTTGTGGTTACTATAGTGTCCTTTTAAATAGCAATCCACCCTGTCTGTGTGTAAGAGGATCTGTCTATCGATATTTCTTTTTTTAATATTCTTTATTTAGAATCGAGTGCAATGTACAAGAAATTATAATGCAGGTTGCAAGTCACAGCATCTGCATTTTGTAACATGGAAAAACACATAACCCAACCACCAAAAATGAGAAAAAAGAAAGAAAAAATGGGAATTAATGCCCCCACATGCAATGCTATATTTCTATTTTTAGCAGTAATATAACAATTTAAGAAGTAAATCCCTTATTTTATGATGCCAAAACATAAGCCTGCCTCTCTAAAAATTTGGAGCAAATCTAGGTGCATCATGCTAAACTGGAACATAAATTCTATTAGTTTCCATGGTGATTTTTGTTTATCCCTTTGCCCTGGAATTGTTCCTGTTTAGGGTTGATAACTATGTTCTGCAATAAAGATGCATTTAAGCTTATTGATGTCTAAATATAAGAATAAAAATGTAAAACGTATGAGCAATACATTAGACTGAAAAATAAAATCTCTAAATGAATATGAAAACAGCATAAATACCGGTGTGTTGATGCGCTATCTTTAGCGCTCGGCGGAAACGGAACCCATGGGGGCTCAGGTAGAAAATAAGATCATTGTGATACGGAATGCATCCAAAGCGGTAATCCACGATGTAACTGATGTCATATACTGCTTTAATATAGGCATTGTCACTGCAAAATACAAGCAATCCATTTAATAAGAGCAGGACCAGGGGTGAGACTAATAGGCTTTGCGGGTCACTGGTAGGTCTAGAGCAGTGACCACTAACTTTGACCTTGTAGATGTCTGATCTATATTTCCAATGAACATTATGGAGAATTTAGTTCAGACACATCTACAAGGCCAATAAAGCTTAGACTGGTTTACTGCAATGGAAGCACCAAATTACACATGCAACCTGCTATAGTTAGAAATGCTAATGCCCTGTTACTGTGATCAGTGTACACTAGACATGAGGGAAAGGAAAATATTTTGTCTAAATCGATTTTTCCGGGAAAAAAAATGTTTCAGGTAAGTCGGGGTTTGTCCATGTGGTGTTTTGGTTTGGGGAAATGATCCAGGCAAACCAAAATGTCGTAAAAATTGGCTAGTCGGTGTACTGCAAAAAATATACATAATATACTTTTTTTTTCGCCATTAGCGTTACAGATCAAGTGACAAGAACTAATCAACGGAGGGGGGAAAAAAAGGAAAAGTAGTAAAAAAAATTATTAAATCATAAAATATTGATTTTTTTTTTTAGTACTCCTCCATCTTTTCCATCTATTGGTCACTTCTCATTTGACCTGCAAACAAAATCAACATTTAGTAAATGTTCCCTAGCCATTAATCATCTTTTTTTTTCTTCTTAATCATCTATTTCTGATGCCGTGAGTGGAAATTAAGAAGCAAACAAAATTGTGAGTCCATTGCCCATTTTGTTTGTGATTCATCCATATAGAGTTTTGGGCTTCGTGATTTTGCACTAAGCACCCATCTCCCAAAATTCAGATGAATCGCAATTTATTTGAAATTTAATGTAAAAGTCTAGTGAGTACGATCCTGAGATCCACCCAGGAACAATGGCGATGGTCTATTACAGTAATGGTGTGAACTTTTTTTTAAAAAAGCATGAGTATTCATTTACCTTTCTTGAATAAAAATCTGAAGATCTAAAAAGTTAATTCCTCTCTTATTATGTTCCAAAGTTAAAATAATGCTGTTGTCGTTAGAATTAAAGTGCTTTACAATAACTCCAATGTGTTTACAGACCTGTCCCAATAAAGAAAATACATCATCAATACCTCCAAGCATGCTCCCCCAGCAGGCAGTGGACTTCCGATCTGCCATAAAGAGATTTGCATAACTCGGAGCGAACCTGGTCTCCATTGCATTCCCACATTTTTATAGATAAAATTAATTAAAAAAAAAAATAAAAATAAAATTGGTTAAAATAATATCCATGCCTTCTTGATGTATTCTATTTGTTGTTCCAGAATAATCTTTTTTCGTGCCAGTATAATTTTTACCGATTGACAACCCTGTTGATGGGAATTAATAGTGTATAGCGAATGCACCTCATGTTACTAAGATAGATTTGGTGTCTCATGTCATTCCATCTAAAACTTGGATTGTAGAATCTTTTAAATAAAACTTTGTTTTTTTTTTAACAGAATGTTGTAATAAAACATCTAAATATTCAAATACAATTGTCAAGAGGAAGCCTATATCCACCATGATAGGTCTCCCGGGGGATTTTTCTCATATTTATGTATTATTGAGAGGAAGTATATAACTGGGACCTTAGGGTATAGCACAGTAAGATAAGTAAATTCATGTTCATTGAGCAAACTAGATAGTTTTCCTTTCTCAATGTATTTTCTGTGTAGGGTCAAATGTACATTTTTCATAGACCTTAATGTCATCTAATTGTTTGAGGGCCTCCTCAACATACATATCGTTAGGAAGTATGACTAAGCCTCCGCCTTTGTCAGTGGGTTTTATAATAATTTCTTTGCTATTCTGAAGTTGTTTTGAGGCTTCTTGTTCTTTTCTTCTTTGGTTCTGATGGTCGTATTTATTATTCCTACTATTTTGCAGGTCTTTAATAAGAAGTTTTTCAAATACCTCCAATGGGCCAGATTTATTTCCAGATGGGTATAATGTAGATCTTTCTTTTAGATTAGTACTTACTATGCAGTGATTAGATTAGTACTGATTAGAGTAGTACTTATAGTGCAGTGATTAGATTAGTACTGATTAGAGTAGTACTTATAGTGCAGTGATTAGATTAGTACTGCTTAGAGTAGTCCTTTTAGTGCAGTGATTAGATTAGTACTGATTAGAGTCGTACTTATTGTGCTGTGATTGTGAGAAATCCGATCAGCAGATGTTGAACACTAGTGTCTTTGATCTACTGTTTAAAGGGACACTCCAGGCACTCAGACCACTTCTGCCCATTGGAGTGGTCTGGGTGCTCCCACTACCCTTAACCCTGCAAGTGTAATTAATGCAGTTTTCATAAACTGCAATATTTACCTTGCAGGGTTAACTCCTCCTCTAGTGGCTGTCTACTGGTCCAATTTTGACAGCCACTAGAGGGCACTTCCTGATTCATAGCACAGGTTTTCTGTGCCATATTGTTGCTGGACGTCCTCACGCTATGTGAGGACCTCCAGCGTCGCTGAAATCCCCATAGGAAAGCATCTGTCTCCCCGCCGGATGTCGTGGAGATGGGGAGGAGCGTGGGCGGACCAAGAAGCAGCGGCGAGGGACATTGTCGCTGCCTCTGGTAAGTCACTGAAGGGGTTTGACCCCTTCAGCAACCGTGCATGGGAGGTGGGAGGGAGAGGGGACCTGCAGTGCCAGGAAAACGGATTGTTTTCCTGGCACTGGAGAGTCCCTTTAACAAGATAGCAGTATTTCTATTCAAGGAGGAAGACATTCTAGTTGTACAACCTGTTATTCTGGCAGTTACTATGGTAACTGAAGGCACATTTCATGATGGTGTCCAGTGTCATCAAGCTGACGTAGTGAAAAAGCTCCACTGATTTCTTCTCAGGCACCAGTTTTTCCCATTTATCCTAAATGCAGAAAGACAAAATAGGAAGAAACCAATCTATAACGTACACAATGTCAATCGTTTACTACTGACTACATCATATTACACTGTATCAGTCATTTACTACTGACTATATCATATTACACTGTATCAATCATTTACTACTGACTACATCATATTACACTGTATCAATCATTTACTACTGACCACATCATATTACACTGTATCAATCCACAATATTTATTGTTATTAAGGGGGCACTGTAGTCACCAAAACAACTCTAGCTTATTGAAGAATCTTTTGTGTATAGATCATGCTTCGAAGTTTCACAACTCAATTTACGTCCATTTAGGAGTAAAATCACTTGCTTCTGTTTATGCATACTTCAAAAAGCCAGGAAAGACAAGGTTTAATCTGTATTTTAACCGTACCTTCCCCTTAATCATATTATAATATGGTGGCATACTGATTAGGTCAGCATGACTCATGTCCAAAAGTGGCCCCACACTATTAAATATAATATTCATTTTATGATTACCAGCATAACGTTGGCACAATCTGACATTATCTTCACATACGGCTTCAGTACATCGTAGTGAAATCCAGGGGTTATCAGCCGACGGTGCTGGAACCACTTCTGTCCAGACAAAACCAACAGACCCTTCCCTAATAATACACATCGAATTGAACTGGTTCAAAAATCACCAAATTGTGGAAAACTGACAAGAGAATTATAAATTCAGAAAAAAAAAATTCTTCAAACCACCTTGGATATTTTCAGTATAGTTAATATATGGTAATTAATCTTTCAGAATAAAACAGTGCTTCATGGAATGACAGCAAATTATTTGAATACCTACACCAGATTAAAAAATATGTCTCACCTACCATCCAGGAACGCCTAGTATGTGTGTGAAAAAGGACAGGGCTATTATTCACTAAAACGTGAATTGAGAAAATGTCTAGTTTTTTGGAATGGAGAGAGAGAAACAGACTAATAATTGATAATAGATCCATATGAAGTAGTTGCTGTTGCATTATAACTGGTGAAAATATATTACATACCAATCCACGGAGTTATAAAGTAGTACCCAAAATTATCCTTTGGATCTGTAAAAAAACAATACATAACATGTGAAGCTTGTAACACGTGACATAAACCTGCCATCCATTCACCCACTGATAACTGATACTGGCATGACGATGGGGATAATCGCTGCATAGGTGTAGCCGGCCCCTGATTTCAGGCCATCAAGTGGAAGATTTATAAAAGCAAAAATAGGAACTGCTCTTTGACATAGTGCTAAGCTGGAAAAAAAACACTATGGAAACCAATATAGTTTCTCTTAACATTTATGACTTTTCTCCAGAATAGAATGTTTTGTCTTTATAAATCTTCCCTAAAAAGCCTCAGACCTTATGATACCCTGTCTAATAAGTAGCAAGAGTGCAGTTAATTGTAGAACTGGCAGTACTATTATTCCTTTCCTGAAATCTCATCATTGTGCTCACTAGATGTAAGAGCAGAATGCACCAAAATTGGACCAGTACGGTGATATGTGTGCTGTCTGGTGCCCACATCTCCTTCACTAGACACCAGGACCTATAGTATCCAGTCCTCTCCACCCCAACCCACCAGTAAACTGGGGGAAATGGGGACAAATAATTGAGCAGCAGGTGACGGACAGGGATCCATTTTTATGCACAAGCACCCCCCCACCCCCAACTCATTATTACCCCCCTGGAGAGTGAGGAGCGAATTTAAATTTTATGAGGCAGTGTCACACAGGGTTATTTACTTAACCTTGGAATTATAAAGCATTAAAAACGGACTTGCAAATTGTAGGTGATGTAGAGAAAACGCAGAGCTCTCAGTCAAGTGGACATGTAGATCACAAGTACCACACACCTCATGGCAATGTGGTCAACAAGTTTCATAGCTATAATATTTTTTCAAGGTTTGTGAAAAAGTACTACACATACAAAATGCGTTGACCACAATCTTGTGACCAAATATTTGGTATACTCAGATATTTTCTCAGCAAAGGCATCGTTTACATTGAAAAACCTGCAGGGATATACTACAGACTCCAAAACCACAGCATTATGCTGTAGGGGTTCTGGTAACCTTCCTGTCCCTTTAAGTAAAGAAACTGTATATATATATATATTCCAGTAACTAAATATGACAATTGTTTCACAATACATCCAGTCTTCCTTACCTTGTCTTGTGAGAATGGCCTTGGCATAGTCAGGATGGCAGATCATGAGCGAGGCAAAGAATTTCCCCATCCATAACGGGTAGGCGTATGGGTATTTTTCAGCATAGCGATTCAAAATGTCCAAGTCTTTCCCATCTCCTTTGAACTGCAGGCATAAAATAAATTTTTATCCAAACTGGAATATTAAACTAATAAATGTATTAACCTTCTTTACTTGGAAAATGCAAACTAAATCTGGTATATAGGCTTCAAAATAATAGGAAGTTTAGATGATAATGCCAGCTATACACAAACACATAGTGTATATATGCTCCTTAGCATGAGTGGAAAGTATGGTGTAATGATCTTATTAAAATCCAATTCATTTAATCTCTCACATATGGGTTAGTACTAGGGATGCACCGAAATTCCGGCTGCGGAAATTTTCTGCCGAAAATGGGCCTAACACATTTCGGCCAAAAAAAGGGTCAAATCTGCCAAAAACACCCCCTCCCCTTGCCCTGCGTGCACAGATATCCCAACTCTCCTGGAGGTTCTAGGAGCTATCCCCGTTCACCTTGATAGAGTGAAGCGCATTTGCTTTCTGCCTCTCTAAACATGGCGGCCGCGCATGTGCGAAGTGATGTGAATGAATGGATCACCAACACTGTATAGATTGATGAAAAAAAAAAGGATTGCAGTTTATGTGCTATTGACATATAACTCTTCAGGAGTATATATAGCCAGTGAGTATGCTCTTAGCCAGCTTTAGTTTTACAGACAGACAGTATCATTTCAACTCTTGTATTTCCTACAACCTTTGCCTGCAGAATGTATTCATAAAATATAATGGCTTCATTGAAGTTGACCTTCATCTTCATCCACCTATTTCAATTTGATGGAGCAAATTTACATAGCAATATTCAGTAAAACGGTCTACAATGTTAGGTCACCTTCATTAAATTCATTAAAAAGTCTAATATTAATACAATTATAGGAAAAAAAAACATTGTAAAATCATTTGGGGAAAAAAGTCATTTTCGGTTTTCGGCCAAGGGCATCCTGAATTTTCGTTCTCGGTTTTGGCCCAGAATTTTAATTTCGGTGCATCCCTAGTTAGTACACATACACATAATGCAAGAAAATAAATATAGGCAACAGCAGGCTTATGATTTTGCAGAGAAAGTTGGTCACATTGTATCGTATAGCAAATATTCTAGATAGATAGAGAGAGATAGGCAGACAGACAGACGTATAGATAGTCAGACAGACAGAAAAGACAGACAGACAGACAGACAGACAGATAGATAGATAGATAGACAGACAGATAGATAGATAGATAGATAGATAGATAGATAGATTTCCAATAAAGTCAAGCCTCAACAGAGGGCTTAACTCCAATAATTGCCTGCAATTAAAACATCACTTTGATGTTAATTCTTAAAAGTCCTCAATCAATAAAGAAAGAAAAGAAAGAAACAAAGAAATAATTAAGAATGTGGAATAGTGATAAGTGAACAGTGCCCCAAACAAAAGGCACAAGGAGGGTGAATAATCTGCACTTACTATCAACAATTAAACATTTAATATTAATTGAATCTGATTCCTATTTAATATATTTGCACACGACACATCTACCACATCTGACCATGCCAACCAGAGAACTGAGTAGCCAACGTTGGTTCTTTTTAGGGCCCGGTTGGAGATGACTCGGAACTAGCAGAAGCTGTGTGCCGTGAAGATCACAAATGGATAGAATACATCCGTAAGATGTGGATCATATGTAAGCAGAGGCCAGAAATATTGTAGTGTTTGTTTCATGAATTGCCAGCCTGTTTCATGAGGTCCAATTATTCTGATGATTTTCTTGGGTTCATTAGAGGGACGCTGATGTTCACAAAGGTGCTGTCTATCAGTCTCTAACGCTTTATTATATGCTTTTTAAAGATACTTGTTTGGGTAGCCCTTCTCCCTTATTCTTGGAGAAAGTGGTATTAGATGTTGGGGTTATCAGGATCTACACATCTTGCTACATACAATGCGTCTGGATTATTCATATTATTTGAAAGAATGAACTGTACCTTTATTTCTGAGTGTTGTGATCATGCTTCTAGTTTTCTTTATTTATGTCATAGTAAGTATCTTCTCTTTAAGAGTACGGTATTAATATATACGTCACTTTGTGGGAGTTATTTATTGTGTAACAAAGAGGTCTGTTTTTGGAGCATGTCCTACTCCCTATTAAATGATTCTGTACATGTATGATACATTGCTGCATTCTATAAAAATATCTAAGGATGTTATACTGTGTATAGATAAAAGGATATATATGTTTATCTGTTGTGAAAGATTTTCCTAAGATCTAGGCTGATCCAATGAAAGAGACCCTAAATTCATTATACCCAGCTTATACTAAGTATATACATTTTTGAGACAGGTTGTTTCCTCCCTTCTGAAGAAACTTAATCTGTATACAATAATGTGATGCATCTCTGATCTAGTAAATCCTCCCAGTCTAGTAAAAAGGTCTATTAGGACACCTTTTGAATAAATAAGAACACACTTTGCATTTACTTTTGGATATATACTTGTTAACTATCACTATTTATAAGCAAGACTCTATTCAGGAATGCTTTATTTAACTTGATGTGGCTTAATTCCCTCTTGGACATCTGCACTGTTTTTACAGAACATCCACAACTGTAGACTGCCGATAGGTAGACTGGGAAGGCTAAGCGGTGGAGCTCCTTGTATGAAGCAACTTAGATATGGTGGTCTCTGTTGGGGCTTGACTATATTTGAGAATTAGGGTTAGGCCCTTCAATTGCCTTGTTGACCACCCATTTGCAACATTGGTGTTATACTTCTATGGTAAATCATTTTTATAGCTAGATAAATACTTGTCCTATTGTAATTATGCCTCAAGGCTATCCATACTTTGTTTATATGAATAAGTGGAGATGCACTAGAAGATTTTACGTGAATATTTTAATATCAATTATATTTTACATATTTAATCAACATCTCTCATAGTTTGGACTATGCAAGGAATTGCCGTATGCTGATATTTTGACAATCTATTGACAATCTTTACCTCTGGAGAAGGTAAAATGGTTTTCCTTACTAGTTACAGAAAATCTTGCATATCTTTCATACAGACACTATTGGTGAGCAACACTTTTTTATATACTGAGATTGTTTTATTGTGTTTATTAATCTTGAAAGAAGGTCCAGAGAGCAATTAACATGCAATGTTTGTGTCTGCTATATGGAGGACGTGCACTGGTGATTAGCTGAATATCTCTCTATTTATAGAGTTGAATAAATGTTTTTATTGGTTTTACTGTAGAAGCTGATACTGTTATATTTATTCTGAGATTTGGAGTCACCAAAGGTTTTACCTGTAGATTTGCAGAAATAGTTGTAAAATCTTACCAGAACTGAAGTTCCTCTACTATGACAGTGAATTTATGGAATTTTAGAGGCTTTTGACTCCTTACAAATTCCCCCTCTCCTTCATCTTAGCTAGCAAGGATATATTGAAATTAGAAGCAGAAAATAATAAGTTCGTATCAGGTATATGGGGCTCATAGCAGGGTATATATCTGATATACGGAAATTATCATTACTCATCTCGGTGGCATCTTTGCAGGATTAATGATAAATGTTATCACTTATCACAATGAAAGGTACAGGAGATCAAAGTACAGGTTTCATATGCCATAAAATGAATTGATAAATAAATAAATATAAGGTGAAATCCGAATCTCTAAAGATTACCAGTAAAGGGATAAGACATGAATACAGGTGCTCAGTGTTTTATATTTATGTTACAGAATAATTGTCTTTGCAGAAGTTAATAGCACGTCTTAGGAACTAACTAAAAGTTACCTATTAGTTGCGCAATTTATATAAAATATCCTTGTTTTTTCACTGTATTCAAATTTATCGCAAATGAACGTTTGTGCTGAAAAACAAGATATTATGGTAAATACAGTGTGTTCAAAGTATCTCAGGAAGATGTAAGAACTGCTCGGAAGAGAGTTGGTATGCAGGGAATTCAATAACGTAGACTTTTTCCAACTTGGCTATTTTGTAACATCACCTTAATTCTCTACCTAACAAATAAACCTTTAAGATGCCACAGGCATTAAAGAGACACTATAGTCACCTGAACAACTACAGCTTAATGTAGTTGTTCAGGTGAGATCTATAGCACCCTGCAGGCAATCTAATGTAAACACAGTATTTTCAGAGAAAATACAGTGTTTACATTGATTGATAGGAATCCCTCCAGTGGCCGTCACTCAGACGGCCACCAGAGGCACTTCCTATCATGTAGGGCCCTAAAAAGGCCCTGTACACGTCAGACGTATTAAAATACGTCTGACATGTGCAGGAGAGAGAAGGCACTGTGTGCGCGCCTTCTCTCTCCTGCCTGTCAGCCGAGGAGAGGGGACGGGCAAAGACCGCAAGCTGAGCTGTCAGTCAGCTCAGCTCGCGGCCGCGCACACCGCACGCATGCGCGGTAGTGCGCTTAGGACTTCAGAGGGCGGCATGAATGGAAGCGTCTAATTGCGCCCTGCTCGCGCCTGCCTATTTCGTCATTTTGATGAAATGGGGGGCGCGGTTTCACGAGGCTCCCGGCGCTGCAACCAGGTGAGTAAAACGGGTTGGCTGGAGAGTCCCTTTAAGCAATGTGGCATATATGGATGGTGGCAATACAGGGTTACGTTGTCCTGTTGGTACAGTTATGGAAAGTTTCGTGAGAGTTCCTGACACCTGGTTAGGTTGTTGGGCAGATTTGGTGACACAGCTGTTGCTGGGGACAAGAGCTGGCTGAGGATTGGTTGCAGGCTGCGAGCCAGTGAAGCGCGGAGAGCCAGGTAAGCAGAAAAAGTGGAAGCGCAGTCCCTGTCAGCTGTTTGCAAGGCAGGAGAAGCACGGATGACCCCCGTCCTCACTCCCCTATTTGCTAACTTTCTTTATAATTCATGTCGTGGTGTTGGAAAGCATGGGGGCAAAGTCATCCTCAGGTTCAAGTTCTGAAGAAGGATATGTGTTAAATGGTTGTATATAAAAGGCGGTCAGGTTAGCTATGACTGACTGGCAATTAAGTGATGGTGAAAGTTAAAAGTTTGGGAAGAAAAGTGAAAAGTTTATGTAAATATGTTACCGTTATTAAGTTATGGTGGTATGCCCCTTTTTAAGCTTTAAATAAACACCACGGCCTAGCCCATTGAAATATACATAAACTGTGTCAGTGTTTACTGTGTGGTCTAAGTTATTTATGCAAAATATTGCCTACTCACACACATTACACCCCTTATACACACACACACACTGCCCCCTCACACACAGATAGAACCCCTCACACAGACTGCTTCCTCACACAGACTGTCCCCTCACACACACTGCCCCCTCACACATGCACTGCTCCTGCCACAAATGCACTGCTCCCCTCACACATGCACTGCCCCCAACACACTCACACACACTGACTGCACCCTCACACACACAGACTGCCCCCTCACTCACGCACTGCCTCCTTCACACATACACAGCATCCTCCACACATGCACAGTACCCTTCAAAAATGCACAACACCCTTCACACATACACAGCACCTCTCACACACACACAGCACCTCTCACACACATACTCACAGCACTGCTCACACACACACAAAGCACCTCTCACACAAGGCATCTCTCACACACACAGCATCTCTCACACATGCACTGCCCACTTCACACATGCACAACACCCATCACACACGCACAGCACCCTTCAAACACGCACGGCACCTTTCACACAAACACAGCACCTCTCTCACACACACTACACCCTTCACACACATACAACACCCCTCAGACACAGCACTCTTCACACACTGCACCTGTCTATATGACTAAATGCCTACCAATACTCTAAATTCCTGTCAATACTGTCAGCAGTCTTCAGAATCCTTCTATGTTCTGTGCTAATCAGATAGAATGGCTCTAACTATATTCAACACTTTACACATAGATTTCTCACTATTGTAATGGATTTCTCAATAGTGTCCTGCTCACTATCAGTGCTAGTTTCACTACTATCACTCTTCTGATAATGATCTCTCTGCGCTCTTCACTGTTCATGAGGCTCTGATTTTTTTTTCTTCCATTTTTCAGTTTTGAAGAATTGTGGACAAAAAATGTTCAGTTTGATTTAAAATTTGGGTTTGATTCAAAATTTTGGTCCAATTGGACCTGAAAATCGCCAGGGAATCCCTAAAATAAAAAGGAAAAGGGTGCATATAGTGTCCCTTTAATATTTTTTTTTTTTAAATCAGCTACTCCCAAAGTGTAAATTAGTGATTCAGAGTTGGTGCTAACTGGCAGTGGCTACTAGACGTGTGCACAATGAACATTTTAAATTTCTTCTGAATTGATATGGTTGGAATTTTTGAAATTTTTTGGTTGTTATTGATATCGGTTATAGTTTGTTTTGAGATTCTGAGATTCAAAATTATATCGAATCTGTTGGAAATTCTACCAAATTTTAATTCATTGTGATCTAGATCTCCAAGTCTACCCCAGCCAACCCTAATGAAAATGTATTTAGATATCTGGAATGCCAAACTTTTTCATCACTTTTCTATCAAAGGGATAAAGTGACACCTGCATGCAGCTTACCTCGTTGGCATGCCCAAACAGCCAGTGGGTCTTAGGACCCTGGAAATCTTTAAATGTTGCCAGCAGCTCCCTCCTTGTCAGGTACAGTTTGCATGCTTTGAATATTGTAAACAGGGCACAGAGCCAGGCCGCCCATTGGCAGAGCTGAGTTATGTTTAGGGACAGCAGATCAAGCAGTAGTGAGGATGCCATGGTAGCGGGACACAGAGACTGCACAGCCACTCAGCTGGCAAAGAGATTGCTCCCTTTAATGTAACCAGGCAAAGAAATGTATCTGTGTCGCTGTCATGAGAAAACACCTGGCCGGGAAGAGAATTGTTACAAGGTTCAATGTCTACGGGAGGCGATCAGGGCTGGGAGGAGGGAGACCACAGGGAGAAATAGGAGATTTAACAGACTGTAAACAGAACTCATCTGTAATGCACCAAGCCTATTGAAAGTACAAGCAAACTTCGATTAACCTTTATTTAAAGCAGTTTTGGTTAAATTATTAAGTCATGAACTGTACAAGTAAACTGCAAATTTCAGATCAAACAGAGATTTTAGAGAAATTAAACCCGAGTTAGGGGTGTTTCTCCATTTTAGCTTTTTTTTTTTTTTAAAACAATGATCTGCAATTCCCTTGTCAGTTTTCCACAATACATGTTTTTGTGCATTAGAAGTTATTAAACAGATACATTTTATCAGTTTCCAACCTTTGCTCTACTTAGCAGTAGAACCTGCATTCACTGCTTTCAGCATACTATAGATAACTGATTCTCTGCGATCCCACTGTATATTGTTTGCCATAGGCTGTAACTCCTCCTCCTTGATCCATACCAACACAGAATCATAGTTACATACTTACATAGTTACAAAGATTAAAAAGAGGCATGCATCCATCAAGCTCATCCTTTTTCATATCAGGTTTTGCTTTTGATCCAAAATAAGACAAAAAAATAAAAATAAAGTTTAAAGTGCTAATTTTGCAACAAATTAGGAAAAAAATAATCTTTTTGACCCCAGAATGGCAGTCAGATCTCTCCTTGGATAAAGAAGCTGTTACCCAAAATAATAAAATAAAATCCATGAATATTATGCTTCTGCATCTGCATAGACTCTGATTAAACCACTTCTTCAGGCAGAGAATTCCATATCGTTATTGTTCTTACTGTAAAATCCTTTTCCTTTGCATTAGACCAAATCTCCTTTCTGCCAGTCTAAATGTGTGACCTCTTGTCATATGTATAGACCTGTTTATTCTGATAGATTTTCAGACAATGGTTTATATAGATACACAAAATTAACTCCTGCGCTCAAACTCCCACTAATTACATAATTATTAACCCTTAATAGGGAACACATGGGGTGGGCGGCAGCATTGTAACATAGGTGTGTGATACAATAGCAAATAGAAATACACAAAAAATAAGTCATGTGCTTAGACTCCCACTACTCCAGGGCAGCAGCAATGACCACAGCACACATCAGCCCCAATCCATACAATAAAAAACAATGAAAATCGTTACTTGCGCAGAAGGAAGCAAGATGAATTGTTAGTGTAGGATCCATATAAGAGGTTTACCTTGACGTGGCAGGTGGGTTTACAATCTAGTGTTACTAAAAACCTCCAGTAATTTAAATATGCATAGGGATTTGGGATAGTGTGCAAGTAACTATTTTCTTTGTTTTTTATTGAATGGTTTATATAGGCTCTGGATATATTTGTAATAATGCTATCATATGCTATCATATGTCCTCCTAGGCACTGTTTATTTTCTAAACTAAAAAAAGTTTAAATTTGTTAACTTTTTTCTTCTAACTAAACTGTTCCATTCCTTTTAATTAATTTTGTAGCCCATCTCTGCACTTTTTGTAGTGACATAATATCTTTGTTTAGAAGAGGTGCCTAATATTGCACAGCATATTCAAGGTGTGGATTTACCATTAATTTACAAACAGGCAAACTTATATTTTCATCCTGATAATTAATGCCCCTTTTTTATACATGACATTACCTTACTGGCCTTAGCAACTGCTGATTGACATTGCACATTGTTACATAGTTTGTGGTCTATAACAATTTCCAAATCTGTTTTGTGTGTTGTTATCCCTAATTCGCTATCATTTAGGGTGTAATTAGTTGTGCATTCTTCACCCCAAAGTGCATAAATTTGAATTAGTCCACATAAAATTTCATCTTGCATTTGAGTGTCCAATCCCCCAGTCTAAATCCCTCTGTAGCAAAGTAACATCCTGATCACATTGTATTACAGAGTTTTGTGTCATCTGCAAACACTGAAACTTGACTCTCAATGCTGTCTTCAAGATCATTTATAAATATGTAAAAAAAAAGTAGTTCCAGAAAAGAACCCCAAGGCACACGACTTACCACTTCTGCCCAGCTTGAAAATGTACCATTAATGCCAACTCTGTGTACTCTGTATTTAAACCAATGCTGAACTCTAGACAATGTAGCAAGACTGTATGTGACATTACTGATTTTAATCCTGTCCATAGTATGCCATACTTTGATGAATATAAGTCACATCCATATATTTGAACTTTAAATTCATAAGGAAAAAAATAAAGCAACTCTTTGAATATATATATTATTATTAGTGCATATTATCTATTTTTAGTGTATTTTATCCCCCCTTCAGTGTCTCTTGTGTCTCTTACACCATGATTTTCCTCTCCCCCTCTTGTGTCTCTTGTATCTCACCCCTCTCTTGTGGACTCTAGTAGATAATCTTCTGTATCCTCAACTTTGTCTGACAAGAATCTGGTCACTGCTCTCAGCAAGGAGCTTCCTGTCAGACAGGGGAGAGGATAAAGAAGATCCTCTACCATGGTCTACGAGGTCACATAGCAGAGAGTGATAAACATGAGGGGGCTCTGTGCTCCGGTCAGCCAGACATTGTGCTAGGTGACACTCGGAATATAGAATGCAGGCAGTTTTCTACCACTCCCAACAAACAGTTTATTTCTCAGAGGTAGAGTTGAGTGGACACCTGGATGTTCGGGTTCGCCGGGTTCGGCCGAACTTTGGCAAAAGTTTTGAGTTCGGGACTCGAACTTGACCCGGAACCCGAACCCCATTGAAGTAATTTGTTTGGGTGGGAGGGTTACTAGGGGCTTGGGGACCCTTAGTCACCTTGAATGGGGGGGTAATTTTCATTTAGGGCCCCCACCCGCTGCTCAGGGGTGGGGGCCAGGGGGAGGACAGTAGGTTGTCCCCCCTTATCCTTATTTAGGGCCCCCACCCGCCACTCAGGGGTGGGGGCTGGGGGGGAGGACAGTAGGTCCCCCCCTTTATCCTTATTTAGGGCCCCCACCCGCCGCTCAGGGGTGGGGGGTAGAAGGGAGGACAGTAGGTTCCCCCCCTTATCCTTATTTAGGGCCCCCACCCACCGCTCAGGGGCATCATTTAGTAATACTAAGTGATCTTTACCTTTTAGTAGATAGCTCTCTAATACCGTTGGAATTAGGGAGTTATCTACTTATTCATTCCTGTCATTACATGACTGGATAAGTAACTTACATTTTATATGACTGTGTGTTACTTGATTGTTGTAAGTGTTGCAAATGCTTACAGCTGAATCCTGGCTATGTTTGTATACTTTTTTATTTAAAATTGAAGATTATGCTAGCGTTAGTGTACTTATAATCTTAATTTTAGTAATGACAGGAGGCGAGTATTTTGCATAACTCTCTTTACTAAACTCCATAGCAGTAAAGAAAGTGAAACATTTAAACCAATCAAAATGCAAATAGGGAGTATATCATCCCAGCAAATAGGCTCCTCCTCCTCTTTTGGAAGCGACATCGGAACAGGGAAGAAGGTAGCGATAAAGTCTGTAGTAAACATCAACTGTGGTATCCAACTGGAAAAGATGAACTTCTCGGCATGAGTGGGAACCGGCACCAACGGGTGATGGAAGTCGTCCGATAGAAGGCGTGGTCTTTATCTGAAGAACCGTAGTCCAATGATTATGCCGCAGAAGTTGCAGGATGAAACGAAGTTAAACTGAAATGAGAATGTGAGAAGGTTAGGCACCGGTCTGGCAACTGTTTGTGATATAGGTATTGATCCATTGGATAGCATTGGAACAGTGTATATTATGAATTCAGAGAATAGTCTAACAGTAGATAGATAGGCTGATGGTAATAGAGGATACAATATGCCAACATGTTGGTTGACTGAAAAGAAGGAAGAAAAAAGGAGACAGTAGTAGCTGTATGAATAGAGTAGTTCCCCTCCTCTCCGGGTGGGAAGGGTGGGAAAATACTCGCCTCCTGTCATTACTAAAATTAAGATTATAAGTACACTAACGCTAGCATAATCTTCAATTTTATCACATGACAGGAGGCTTCCTATTTTGCATTTTTAACGCTGTTGTATAAGAGACATGGCTGCACCGGAGTTCGGTCGGAAGTAGAAGGTGCGGAACGTAGATTCTCTAGACCAATCCGCGGAGTGTAGGATATCCGTTATGGAGGCACCCGCCATGAAGGCTGAGGATGCTGCTGCTCCGCGTACGGAGTGGGCTCCGAATGTAGTGTCCACGCCGGCTAGCGATAGTAACCATCGAACCCATCTCGCTAGGGTGGTTGTTGTAATAGGAACATGTGGTCTAACGTATGATACTAAGAGTTGACCTGAGGGCGTAGACCTGAGTGGTAGGGTAGTTTCTACATACTGATGTAGAGCGGAGACGACACAGAGTTGTGGATCCGTGGGGAAGAATGGATAAAATACAGATGTGGAGTCCGTCTTAGTGCGACGAGATATCCTGAATGTTACTCCTTCTGGGGAGGTAGAAAAAGCGTCTATGTCCAGCGCTCGAATGTCTGACACTCTGCGGAAGGAGACCAGGCAAAGCAAGACTGTAAGTTTTGCTGAGAGTTGTCGGAGGGAGAGTCTGTCGTTAGTTGGCCAGTCTCTCAGGAATCGGAGGATTACGTCGACGTCCCAGAATCGAGAATATTTCGGGCCTGGAGGGCGTTGTAATCGAATGCCCCTCAGAAGTCGACACACCAGTGGGTCCTTGCCAACCGGAATCCCTAGTATGGGGACATGAGCTGCTGAAATAGCTGAACGAATTACGTTGAGTGATCTGTAAGACCGACCTAATGAGAATAGGTGGGATAGGAAGTTCAAAATGGCTGAAATAGGGGCCGTAAATGGATCGATGTTCCGTTCCAAACAC